CGTCCGACAAAATCGACGTACGCACAAGTCTCCAGTACGGTGGCCCAAACGGCCATTCAATTGTTCACTAAAGGCTGGTGATGTGTTCATCACTAACTCTGGTTTCTTCACTGATAGCGCAGGATGTGATCTGGGCCAAGCTAGCGCAAGCTACCATCCATCTTCCTGTTCTTTCCAAGGTCTCGTGGGCCGCCCTGAGTCGCCGCGGGTTGTCACAAGCTCCCGTGGGTCGCTGCGGGCCGCCGCTAGCTCCCGCGGGCCGCCGCTAGCTCCCATGGGTCGCTGCGGGTTTTCACAAGCTCCCGTGGGTCGCTGCGGGCCGCCGCTAGCTCCCGTGGGTCGCCGCTAGCTCCCGTGGGCCGCCGCTAGCTCCCATGGGTCGCTGCGGGTTGTCACAAGCTCCCGTGGGCCGCCGCTAGCTCCCGTGGGTCGCTGCGGGTTGTCACAAGCTCCCCTGGGTCGCTGCGGGCCGCCGCGGGTTGCCGCTATACCTCGGTGCTGTCGGTGACGACTGGCTTCATGACGTCAGCCTTCAGCGGCAGCTTGCGGCTCTTCTTGCCGAACAGACCGCCGAGACGGAAGCTCTGACTCGGAGACTTCGGTGGCGCCACCTTGCCGGCCGCGGCTGCCGCCTGTGCCGCCTGAGTCAGCAGGCTGCTCGTCGACGACTGCAACGAAACGACAACGGAACGTCTTTACTGTGGCCGAGACGCTGCGCGGCGTGCACAGTATTTGATGATGGTGGCTCCCTCTGGCCCATTGCGCGCGTAACGAGGTATTTTTTATGAACGTAGAATATGGTAACTTTTTAATAATATTGTCACCAGGTGTCGCTACTGCTGCTCGGTCATCAGCTGTGTTGTTTAGCTGTCGGATGACGTCCTGATAGTCGAACGACTGCGGTTCGTGTGTGAACGGCGGCACGCACACCAACCACGTTCTATCCTCGCATCCCTGCGCATAATACAGCTGCAGCTGATTGGCCAGGCACTGCGCCTCGAGCGCGCTCAGTAGGGCGTCGTCCCGCTCCCCCACCATCAGCACGAGGGCGGCAGCGGCGTCGGCGGCTAGCTCCGTGTAGTGCGTGAGTGTGAGGCAGGCGGGTGCGTCGGCGCCGTGCGTCTTCTACCCGAGCAGAGGCGTGACAGTCGGCGATTCAGCATCATTCTTCATAAATTGCATGATTTTAGACTGATATATGTCGTATCAAGAGTAGATAATAACACATTCTACTGTATTACATTATTCTGTCTTATTATCTACTCTTGGTCGTATTTATTAAATTGAGTATGTAAACTTAGTGTTGCTCTCCTACACTTGTTTTACTTGCACTCTAACAATATCACGTAATCTGGTTAGTAATTAACACAGTATTGGTAAATTAACAAAGTCTTAGCATCGGGAAATGACAGTACGTGTCACTGTCAGTGCCTGGTGTCAGTGCCAGTGGGACTGGTAGGAGTGCGTGCATTATATGGCAGAAGGCAGAAAGGTGCGATATGATATGACTACTAGGCACTTTAATTTAATTTAATTTTTTTTAGGGTTAGGGTTGTTTTTTTTTTAAAGTGCCTAGTAGTCATATCTTAAGTGCCTAGTAGTCATATCATATCGCACCTATCTGCCGGGTGCCATTATATGTGGACGTACGTCATACAACATGTATGATACACACACAGGGACCTGAGGCATAGTTTGTAAAACGTTAAGAACAGTTCAGCCACCCATCGAGTTATGTTACATAAGAAGAGAAGAGTTCTCTTTTTATGTATGAATGGAAGAATGGTGAAGTCAACGTTGTATCCAACTTCTATCAGATGTTCAAAACACAAACAACAGCGACGACAACAAAGAGAACAAGAATGGTAGTAAATTCTTACGAATTTTATGAATGTCGTTTTATTATTATTATTATTATTATTATTATTATCATTATGTTCGGCAAGTAAGAAAAGCAACAACTTAATAATGGCCATAATCGCACAAGCGCTCTACACGAGCCGTCGGTGGTGACGCGCGACCGCCGCCATGGCGACCGACGTGCATGGGCAGTACACATCATATCACAAGATTTCACACGACATCGACCGGCGTTACGGTGGTATGTTCCTACGGGTGGGTGAACTACATGGCGGCCACGCCCTCGGCCCAACCCCAACGGACGACACCCCCCCATCTCCAACGCATCCCCACTCGGAATTTGTCAGGCAGACAACACATGCTGGAAAAGACAAGCAGCAGAGACGCAATACGCAGTGTGTACAACAGCAGCAGCAGCAGCAGCAGCAGCAGTCGCAGCAGTAGCAGTAGCAGCAGCAGCAGCAGTCGCAGCAGTAGCAGTAGCAGCAGCAGCAGCAGTCGCAGCAGTAGCAGCAGCAGCAGTAGCA